CAGCCAACAACCTTGTTTCACGCTTGTAAGTTATACAGATTTAGATTACAACTTTCTTTTTGTTTGAAATCGAAACCCTTTGTGGCTTTGTATGATTAATGATTATATAATACATATCGATTTCATTGACCTATTGATCACATTTCAGAAATTAAAACCCTTTGTGGCTTTGTATGATTAACATTTGATTAATATACATTCAATTTCAGAATTTATTTAGAGTTGTTATTGTCTATTTGATATAAGAACATTGTTCAATCTGTTAGTTGTTATTGTTTATTTAGAGTTGTTAATTTGTTATTGTCTATTTGATATAAGAACATTCAATTTCAGAATCAAGAATCAAGATTCAATCATTCAAAAATGTCTTTGTATAAGTTTTATAAAAGGAAAGAAGATAGTGAACGTCAACATAAATATAAATATACGAGGGTTGATTTAAACTCACTACCCGTTGATCTATTTGAACGACCAAGTATAGAACTCGACCCGTCACCATTAGTATTTTTTTAGTTTCATTTATATAACAAACTACGTGATTTTTTGTTCTAAATTCGCCACTGCCCGCAAGTCTCTGTAAAGTTGATAAAAATGTTTTATCTCCTCATGTAGGGAATTTTTCCTTGGAATCACTATGGGGTCGTCTCTGCCCTATTGGATGATTCAATCTCAGGGTCTTCGTTGAAATAATACGAAGAGGTTTCCGTTGAAACATACCGCCGTTCAAAAAAAAAAAACGAAGCCTTAAAACAAATGGTCAAAGAAATTTATGATCAGATGAAAATCAGTAAAGCAAAGCAAGAATCCTGTAGAAAACTATTCTTTCTTTCTTTTCTGTCCTCAAATATAATATAACCCATATTAGCGAAATTCAATAACTCAATGATCAGAACTGGATTAAAAAAAGAAATTGTTAGAGCAAAAATTGATACCAAGGGATAATCGAAGGTTTCAAATGTAAGTTTAGTTAATTTTCTTGATACGTACCGTATTCTTGCGGGGATTTCAGATTTTTGATATTGACATAACTCATCATCACATCATTAATTCACGACATTATATTTGGATAATTCCGGATTTTTTAAATCGAAATAACCCAATCAAATCTCAATTTAATTAAGGGTATTCTATCTTGATATGTATTATTTCTTGTATTCTATTTAGATACTTCCGGATTTTTAAACTAAAATAGCTCAATCACAATCTACATTCAGTCTTGATAGGTATTATTGCATTTATTAATTAAGAAAAAGTTAAACGTATCTGCATGGATAACTTGACTTTTTTTATCTATAAATATCCGAGAGTAAAAAAGCAGGTGAAACGTATCTCACCGTTCCAACCACCCTACCACCTTTGAATCCAACATGACGATTCTCACTGCCGTTCTCCTCCTCTTCTTCTTCATCTTCGCTGCACCATCCACCGCGGATATCAATTCCGTCAAGATCCTATCCGATAATCGAGATTTGATCCTCTTCTCGAAGTTTGAGTACTCACCTACTGGCTACGTTTCTGTTGCAGTCTCCTCCGCCGGAATCTCCTCCAATCCGGTCACCTCCAACGCATCACAACCAGCAGATCCTTCACGTGTTGGTTTCTTCCTCCTCTCTCAAGAACTGTCAGATCGCTACCACCTCCAACTCAAATTCAGACCAAACCCTGATTTATGCGGCTTAGATATCAACAACATCACAGTCCTCTTTACATTCCGAGATCTATCACCTCCTCCTCACTCATCCTTTAACACGTCGTACCATGTCACATATCCCGGTAACTACTTACTCTTCTTCGCCAATTGCAACAACCAATCTCTCGTGACCATGAATGTCCGCAGAGAACTCCACAACCTTCTAGACGACGGCACTACCACTACCAAAGATTACTTATCAGCCCGGGAACCGCAGCCATCTGATTATTTCAGATTCTTCCTCATGTATCTATGTTTTCTAGGGTTTTGGACCAAACTATGCTTCAAGAACCTGTTAAGATTTATGGAGTCATGAACAAATTGACAAGTTCCTAAAAGTTCAAGGGCCATAAATGTAACTTAGCAAATTAAACAATTTAATTGTATTGTTTAATGGAAAGATGACGGTGGTTCAATTATTTAATATTGAATGGACGCACATTTTAGGTGGAATAGTTTTGGACGGCATATATTTCAATTCAAATATGGCGGCTCAATTTCATGTGCAAATTGCGGCTCACAAACATATATATATATATATATATATTGCAAGAAGAAAGTGTGCAGCAACGTAGCGCAGAACAACAAAAGTGCCGAGTGATATTACCATTTGTAATCTTATAGTGAGTTAATATAAAATCTAGTTGCGCCCGTGGACGTAGGATTTACACCGAATCCGAACCACGTAAAATCCTTGTGTTCCTTCTTGCTTTATTTTCTCGTTTCGTTTGTGTGTGTTATAGTGTTTCCGCTGCGTGTACCCTATCTCAATTCCTAACAACTGGTATCAGAGACTGGTTAGCGAGGTTTTGGAGGGTACGATCGTTTTTTTATCACGCACGAGTGTACCTGATTTGTATCTTGTTTGTCGTAATGGCTGAAGACAAGATTATAATCGAAAGGTTCAATGGTTCTGATTTTAGCTGGTGGAAAATGCAATTAGAAGCATTGCTATGTCAGAAAGACTTGGACATGGTACTCGGAGACAAATCGGAGAAAATGGAAAAAGTTGCTGAAGATGCGTGGAACTCAAAGGACAAGAAAGCCAAGGCGGTTATTACATTGTCGTTGACGAAGAGCGTTGCTTTCAACATCATGAATGAAACCACGGCACGTGGTATGATGGAGGCTCTGTCAAATATGTATGAGAAACCATCGGCGGCTAACAAGGTGTTCTTGATGAAGGAGCTGTTCACTACAAGGATGAATGAGGAAGGCTCAGTTACGGTTCACATTAACAATCTAAATTCAATTTTGTCCAGATTATCATCTGTGGGAATTAAATTTGATAATGAGACTCAAGCTTCGCTGCTACTAGCTTCTCTACCTGATAGCTGGTCCGGAACAGTTACTGCTGTTACAAGTTCCGTGGGGACCAGTGGTATGACTTTTGAAGGGGTTAGAGATTTGGTTCTAGGCGAGGATATCAGACGCAAGAATCAAGGTGGATCTTCCTCTTCTGATTTATTAAATGTCGGAAGAGGTAGAGGGAATAGCAGGAATAGTGGAAGCAGTGGGAGTCAGGGAAGAAGTTCATCTAGAACTAAGAAGAATGTGAAGTGCTGGAACTACCAGGAGGTAGGACATGTTAAGAGTCAATGTCCAAAGAAAGAATTGAACATTACCGGTGCTGAGAGTATGTCTGAGGATCATGCATTGATACTCAGTATGGAAAGTTTTGTAGACTCTTGGGTCATGGATTCAGGGGCTTCGTTTCACGCCATGGACAATGGGGAAACGATGGTGAATTTGAAAGAAGGAGATTTTGGAAAGGTACGTTTGGCAAATGACGAGATGCTTCAGGTAACGGGCATGGGAGATATTGATTTGGTTACTTCATTAGGAACTACATGGAGCCTGAAGGATGTCAGGGTGATTCCGGAGCTGAAGAAGAAATTGATTTCTGTTGGTCAGCTGGATAAACAAGGACTGGAAGTAAGGTTTGGTAGTGGTAAATGGAGGGTGGTCAATGGTGATCTGGTGATTGCTCGTGGTATGAAGTGTGGGTCATTGTATATGGTTGAGGTACCTGCTGAGGGAAGTATGACCGTCCCTGTTAAGCAAGACAAAATCTGGTTCGCTAAATCTACGGCTAAGAGAGTTCATTTTGCAAACATGAATTCTGGAGCCAAGGGGATGTTAGCTGAACGAGTCGGAAAGTCTAAACCAGTCAGGAGATTCTGTGACAGTGGGAGCACGGGGCGTGTTTCGGGTACAGTTACAAAGAGCCGTTGGGTTTTGAAGACTAAGACTGAAAAATTCTCTCATGTTGAATGTTTGCAAAGTTGGGAGAGTGTTAGTGGTCCTCGGTGTATCTCTGGATCTGGTGGAGTGTCCAAACCGGTTGAGACAGAGGATGAGTTGGTGGCGGGATTAGCCACGGCTGAGTTGGAGCTAGTGGGAGCTTCAACTGGCCCTTCTAGAAATTGATGATGAGGGGCGGCTGCAACTAGAAAAACCAGACTAAGTTTTAGCTTGTTCTTTGGAACTGGAAGCTTGAAGGACTTGGTTGTTTTTTAAGATTACTGGAGTAATTAAGAGTTGGATGGCGGAGAAAGACTAATTTGTTCAAGCCTTCAAGTGGGAGATTGTTAAGATTTATGGAGTCATGAACAAATTGACAAGTTCCTAAAAGTTCAAGGGCCATAAATGTAACTTAGCAAATTAAACAATTTAATTGTATTGTTTAATGGAAAGATGGACGGTGGTTCAATTATTTAATATTGAATGGACGCACATTTTAGGTGGAATAGTTTTGGACGGCATATATTTCAATTCAAATATGGCGGCTCAATTTCATGTGCAAATTGCGGCTCACAAACATATATATATATATATATATATATATATATATATATATATATATATATATATATATATATATATGTATTGCAAGAAGAAAGTGTGCAGCAGCGTAGCGCAGAACAACAAAAGTGCCGAGTGATATTACCATTTGTAATCTTATAGTGAGTTAATATAAAAGCTAGTTGTGCCCGTGGACGTAGGATTTACACCGAATCCGAACCACGTAAAATCCTTGTGTTCCTTCTTGCTTTATTTTCTCGTTTCGTTTGTGTGTGTGATAGTGTTTCCGCTGCGTGTACCCTGTCTCAATTCCTAACAGAACCAGCATCCATTTGCTAATGTATGTGTTGCTTTTTATAACCGTCCTTCACTTTATCTTTGCGGTGGCGGATCAACATGATATAAAGGTTACAGGCACTCACCAAGGGTGGCATGTCATGTTTTACATATTTCAGTTTATGAGGAATATGCTTTTGTTCACCATAATCGTGTTGATCGGTGTCGAATGGTGTTTCTGGAAGTGGGTGTTGCCACACGGGATATGTGGTTTTTGACGCTTGTGATCCTACTTCGGATTGTGGCTAATGTAACTTATATAGTGGCAGAGGAATCCGGCCTTTATTATGAACATCGGGTGGATTTGGAAGACGTTATTGCAGTTATAGATATCACGTGTTGCATCGTTATTTGTTTCTACACTGCTTTGGTGTGTTGCGAGTTCAAATTGGCGAAGGATGCATCAACCTTTCTGAGGTCTTTTAGCTCGCTCAAGGAGACTTCCGTTAGGCCGGATGTGTTCCCTGTCTTGGTTTTAGTATACCTTATGTTTATGGCATCAGAGTCTCTTGAAATGACTATTGTGGCAAAGGAAAGCATTAGTTTTGTGTTCTATATGGTGATGTTTTACATGTACAGGCCATATGTTCTGGAGGATGAGGGAGAAAACTGTAAGAAACTTCTCGTCTAGGATAAGTAGTCAGCTTTAGTTTTCCTGGAACAATTCGATGTGTTTACTTTTTTTGTTTTTTAGTTTTAGGTTTGTTCTGTTCTTGACATATGACTGGAAGGTTGAAGATTTGGTTGAATTTTGGAAGTTTTAATTAGTCATTGAATCGACCCCTCCCCTTTTTTCATTATTTACTACAGTATTATTTTATTAATTTTGAAATTAATTCCAAATCATTCTAGTATTATATATGCAGTATGCATGGCTCTGTCGCCTTCTTTCTAACAACCTTAGAAGTTGCATATCAGGCCAATAAGCCCTTAAAGTTTCTTACACTAACTCATTCTTCCTTTTTCGTCTCCGTCTCTGTCTCTTTCACGTGGATTTCTTCGCTTCAAGTAAGTAAATTAGGGTTTTCTGATATTGATTAATTAATCTTGTTTTGGAGATCGTGACAGTGGTGTTTTTTGGTGACATGTACATGATGGAGTAATTCAGAAAGTGTTTTTATGTCACGTTTTTTAGTATTGAATAATTCAAAGTCATGTGGGCTGATGAGTCCGAGTCTTAAGCCAATAGAATTAGTTGCAGTTTTTTCAGCACTTTTTGAGTTTAAATAGTTTGCTTCTATGTACGTTGAGGTTACACCTCCATTTTATTTCACTGAATAAAAAGCTCAAAGCTTTAAGTATCGTGCTCTGTTTTTCTTTGTTACTGTTTCATTGCCATATTCAAGATACAGGCTTTTCAGAGCGAATCTGGTACATGCCCAAGTATCAATCTCGTGAAGAAATGACGGGCAACAATGGTAATGGCGAAGAGGTGATCGGAAGACTCAAGGCATATGAAGAACGCATGAAGAGTTCATGTGACAGTGACGATCGAAAACTCCTGTTAACTCACAAAGAATGGTCAGATAAAAACAAGAAGAAATCGGATGGAGGCAAAACAAATCGGGGTGGTTTTGGAGGTTCACGAGGACGGGGCAGAGGTAGAGGAAGAAACAGTGGTGGCCGTGGTGGTCGTGGTGCAGAGGTGGTTCACATCACCAGAAAGAAAGCAATCCTAGTGCATCGAGTAGTCATGATAAAAGTGACATTCAGTGCTATAATTGCCAAGAGTACGGGCATTATGCAGCTGAATGTAAGAACCCACGAAAGGAACGAAGTCATGAAAGCAATCTGGTACAAGAGCTTCATGATAACGAGCCTGCCCTGTTGCTCTCAACATACGAAGATGGAAGCTTAGTGTTTCTGAATGAAGAAAATATCATCCCTCAATTAAGAACCCACAGTGATACTCAATAGTCATCTTGCACGAGGTACCTGGACATAGGAGCCAGTAATCATATGACTGGGGATAAAACCAAGTTTAGAAGATTAAACGAATCAATCCATGGCTTTGTGAAGTTCGGTAATGAATCAAAGGTGAGAATTGAAGGCAAAGGCTCCATAGTCTTCAAATGCAAGGATGGTGGGTGTCGAAAACTAAATGAGGTTTACTACATACCCGATCTATGTAGCAACATCATTAGTCTGGGTCAATTAGCAGAAGGTGGAGATGAGATTAAGATCAAGGATCCATTCTTATGGGTTCATGATTCAATTGGAAAGCTACGCATGAAGGTGAGAAGATCAGCAAATAGACTCCACAGAATAGAGTTGGAAGATGCTACTGCAGTGTGTTTTACTGTAGAATCCGATGATCCAACTTGGTTATGGCACAAGCGAATGGGGCACATAAACTTCAATTCAATGAAGCAGATGATTGATAAGAAGATAATTGAAGGAGTGCCACAGATAAAGATTACCTCACAACCCTGTGAAGGCTGTTTGGTAGGAAAACAAGCAAGGAATTCATTTCCAACTCAGACGAATTTCAGGGCAAAGAAAAAGCTTGAATTGATCCATGGTGATTTATGTGGGCCAGTTACTCCTCCAACACCCTCTGGGAACAGATACTTCATGTTGATTGTCGATGACTTCAGTAGAGTAATGTGGGTGCACCTGATGAAGTCTAAAGATGAAGCTCTACAAGTGTTTAAGAACTTTAGAAGCAAGGTAGAGACTGAAACAGGGGAGAAAGTGAAAGTGTTCAGAACCGATCGTGGAGGATAATTCCTATCAAATGAATTCACTAAGTACTGTGAAGAAACTGGGTTGGAGAGACACTACACGTCTCCATACTCTCCATAGCAAAATGGAGTAGTAGAGAGACGTAATCGGACTGTATTGGAGATGGTAAGATGCAATTTGAAGACCATGTCTATGCCCGACGTTTTATGGGGTGAAGCAGTAGCACACTCTGTTTATGTTCTAAACAAAGCTCAAACGAAGGCCCTGAAAGATTCGACTCCATATGAAATGCGGACTGGGAGAAAGCCACATATTGATCATTTAAGGGTATTTGGATGTGTGGCTCATATGAAAAACGTGAAGGGGCACCTGAAGAAATTAGAAGATAGAAGTATTCGCTTGGTTCATCTTGGAATTGAAAAAGGATCGAAGGCATATAGATTACTAGACCCAGATACGGGGAAAGTGTACGTGAGCCGTGATGTTGTGTTTGAAGAAAATCGTAGTTGGACATGGGAGAAGAGTGTAAAGATCAAGGCAACACCAGGAGTAAGCTTCACTGTCGAAGGCTTTGATCTCGACGACGACGTCTATAATGACGATGGAGAATGGGTACCGGACACACCAGATCAAGAAATTGGATCGGATCAAGAAATTGGATCATCCTCCATTTAGACCAATAGTGAGCAGTCAAACAGGTCGGGTCACCCACAAACAAGCCCACCGGGTAGCCCGATACCGTCAAATACCCCAAATACCCCAATCACGCAAAACTCTCCCATTACGATTGATTCATCGACGGAGTCAGCGAGCACCACCTCTAGCTCAACTGGTGGTGGTGCCCCAAAGCGCTTCAGGCTGCTTACAGATCTATATGAAAGCATGGATGAGATTCACATACCCCCAGAAGAACTCATGATGATTCGAAACGATGAAGAACCCACATCGTATCTTGAGGCCAGTAGAAAAAGGGAATGGCGAGAAGCAATGGATGCAAAATTAGCTTCGATCAAAAGAAACAACACCTGGAGTTTGGTTGATATCCCAAAGAATCGCAAGGCTATCGGATTGAAGTGGGTATTCAAATTGAAGAAGGATCCAAGTGGAAAGATCGTAAAGCACAAGGCCACGATTGTTGCAAAGGGATACGTCCAAAAGCATGGAATTGATTTTGACGAAGTGTTCGCCCCTGTAGCAAGAATTGAAACAATCCGTCTCATCCTAGCACTAGCAGGCTCGAATGGGTGGAAAGTTCATCATCTGGATGTCAAATCGGCATTATTGAATGCAAAATTGGAAGAGGAGGTCTACGTTTGTCAACCAGATGGTTATCAGAAGAAAGGTCGGGTTCATAAGGTGTACAAATTATCTAAAGCCCTCTACGGGCTCAAACAAGCCCCTAGGGCTTGGAATGCTTGCCTGGATCAACACCTAAAGAGAATTGGCTTCACAAGATGTGCCCATGAGTACTCAGTCTACACCAAGAGGTATGATGGGAATACTTTGATCGTAGGAGTGTATGTTGATGACCTACTTGTCTAACATCCGGATTTCCAGGTATCATAATTTAAGTATCTATTTTGAGTTAAGAAGAGGGACTCGACGAGTTGACGCCTAAACTCATCGAGTAGGATCACGACTGATGACTCGGATTAATGAATGGAATCGACGAGTCGGTGAGTTGACTCGACGAGTCCCCGTTGTGGACAGAAACCCTAAATCTTTGGGCATGTGCCCTATTTAAGGGACCTTATGGCCTTCAGTGGCTGCCACACACACACTTGAGAGACCCTAACGAACCAGAGAGCAGAGAGAGTGAGGGAAGGAGCTAATTACATCACCATTAGTGCATTCTTGCAAGAAGGAAGGAGGGGATTCAAGCTAGGCTGATTGAGGAGCTCAGATCTACTATCATTTCATCAAAGGCTTCTGTTTGAGGTAACAATCTATGCCTATTTCATGTATATAGTAGATCTCATGAATCTAGGGTTTCTTTACCCCCTTTTTAGTAGAGATTATGGAGCATGTGGAGTCCTTTGAGGCATAGACATTAGATCTGGACCTTCAGAGGTCCAGAGAGTCCCAATCTTCCAGCTTTATGCAGTCCCATAAGAGTTTTAGGTCTAGGTCACCATTTTGAGGGTTATTTCATCAAATAGAGCTAGATGTGTGGTGCATGGACCTAAAGATCGAACCTTTACGTGAATTTTGGGTGCTAGAAGGCCAGATCTATAAGTTAGAGAAACAGATCTGGCCTCAGAAGGTCAAATGAGTATTGCCATGGAGGAAACTCGCCGAGTCCATAAGAGGACTCGATGAGTCGGATCGGGTTGCCCCGCGATTCATGATCAGTGGTAACCCGTCGAGTGAAAGGTTAACTCGACGAGTCGAGTGAGGCCTTAGGAGGATTCAGAGGACACGCATGGACTCGCCGAATCACCCAAGTGCACTCGACGAGTCTTGTCAAAGTTGGACCGTTGACTAGAGTTGACTTCAGTTGACCTCAGGGTTTGGTCAAACTGATTCAAGAGAGGCCATGGAGGGGTAGAATGGTCTTATACCCATTCTTTAGAGATGAGAATATAAGAGAGTATTGATTAGAGATATTATCATTTTGATAAGCGGAGGCTAGATCGGGGATATCGAGCACGAGAGTTTGCTAGACATCCTACGAGGTGAGTCTTCTCACTATACATTACCTAGAGTGGTATCTATGTGCAGACCGGAGGGTCTTATGTGTTATGTGTATGTTTGAGATTATGTGCATTGTGATATATGTATGTTATGTGTTATATAGACCGGACTGGAGGGTCCAACGACTCACGAGGCCAGAGGGTCCTCGGGTAGACCGGACCGGAGGGTCCAACGATTTAGACCGGACTGAAGGGTCCAACGAGCTAGACCGGACCGGAGGGTCCAACGACCTACGGGACTGGAGGGTCCCGC